TGCTTCCCTCATCTGAGTGGTTACTAGAAGATCATCTATGTACTGCAATAGCCTTCTTTCTGCCTGTGGAGCTTCCCAGGACTCTAGATCTTTTGCAAGTTGTTCTCCAAACAGAGTAGGGGAATTTTGAAGCTTTGAAGGCCTTGAGGCAACACAATCTATGTGAGCTGGGTTTTGTGCCCGCTTTTAGTGCTTTCCCATTTGAATGCAAAAATTTTCTGTCTGGCTTCGTGGATAGGGAGGCAAAAGAAGGCATCTTTCAGATCTAAAATGGTAAACCAGGTTAGTTCAGGTACCAAACATGTTAGTAAGGTGTATGGGTTTGCTACCACTGGGTGCAGATTAGGCTTTTACTGCCTGACCCTAGCTGGTTGTTTTCCTTAACTTGCACAGGAGGTCTTCTCTGCCCTCCCTGGTATGTTAGAGGCCCATACCCCAGGAAACACTGGATCCATTATTTTCTTGTTAATTTTATCCTTATTTTCAATTTCAGTTTCACTAATTATTAAAATTAAGTCTAGTACATCTACATATTGTTGATCCTTTACTAAAATAATCTCTCTATCTTTAAATGTGATCTTTGCTTCCAGCTGCTCTAATAAGTCTCTACTCAACAGGGCCTTTGAAGTGTTGGGCATATATAAAACCTATGAATATTTTGATGGTTTGCAAAATATACTTTTTCAGATTGGCCAGTTGCCCCCTTACCATAACATAATCATCTGTTATAGGCATCGAGGCTTTATTTAACACTGAGTATGTTGCCCCCGTGTCTACTAAAAACTCTATTTTCTTAGTTCCTATCTTTCTACTCCATCCCAACTCTTTGCTTTAATTCAAAGTCTTGGGGTATAAAATAGGTTGAGCACACTCAACTTTAATTATTTTTGTTGGGTTTCTTAAATTACTTGAAACTCTCTTTTCTAATAATTTAAACACCCTGTTACTTCTTTGCTTCTCGGGACTGGCTGTTACTAAGATCCTTATAGCTCTCTAAGTAGCCTTTGTTTCCTTAGAATAACACTAATGACGAAGTGCCTGTCTTGGTCCCTTCCACTTAAACTGTGCTTTACGAAATCTTAGTCTTTTCTAGTTTTCTTCCCACATAATCTAATTAAAGCATTGTTTCCACTGACACTCACTTTGCAGCCTTGCAAAGGTTGTGCCTGTTACAGTAAAAACTCTGATATGCCCACAAACATAGACTCTTCTTCTCACCCCTTCCCTGTATCTCAAATTCACGAGTCAGGGCTTGAATTGCTGTGGGAGGGGAATTCCTGGAATTCCTTTAATTCGTTTTACCACAGTTAAACATAAATCACTATACTGTAGTTCTTCTGTGTAAAATGCTACACTTGTTGCAAACAAAATCCTAAAATCTCCACAAACACAACCATACAATCCCGAGAATCAAATTGCCACAATGTGGGGGAAGAACCACACAAACTCCCTGGGAAAGGGGGTATCTCTCAAAGTGCCCACTTTCCTCAACATAACACAGCATACAATACTTCAGCATTTACCCACATCAGCTTTCTCTGGTCCTCACACACTCTGGACACAATCAAAATAACAGTACACAGTAAAATTCTAGGGGTCAAGTCCAAACTACTGGGGCAGAGGAGTTTGTCTAGCCACAGTTAAAATGTGCACAATCTTCACAAATCACCACCTTTAAACACAATAAATGTCCTCACCCACATTTCTCCGCTTGTTCCACTTCTCCCTGCCCCCACAGCCTGCCCAAGCCAGCGCCTCAGGCCTCACTTGGCTGCTTCAGATGCAGGTAGAACTTCTCCCCCGCACACCGTGGGTACACTCACTCGCTCGGTCTCTTTTATACATCACGCACTCACACAATTACAAACACATGTCCAGACACCACAAGCACACAAAGTTCGGTTTCACTCGACTCACCCCCAGAGTCGCTAGCGGCCGTTCTATCAAACAATGAACCCATTCCCCAAGTCGCTCTATCAACCGGGGACGTCTGACGCTGACCGTGCTCTCGGTCAATGGCTGCCTGCAAGTACAGGGACGAGGCTGTGCACTCAGACGTCTCTGAGTGACTTATTAGCAGTCCTATCTCTTTCTCCCCCGGGGCCCTCCTTTGATATGCATACCGTTTGTCCGCACACCAGCAGGTCGTTGTCTGTCCTCACAGGAGGCAAATCCAGATGGAGAGGAGCTCCTCCAGGGAAAATCCCGGGGCGCACCTCGGAGGTCCGTCCTCCCCTCTGCCCCTGTGAGGACAGAGACGGTCTCCTGGCTGGCCTTGCCAAAATGATTTGCAGAAAGAAAAAAAAACTCCACAACTTTGTAAAAGTTGTGAAGGTGGTATGTTTTTTACAGCGCTGGACGCATGTGGGGATTATTCTCCGTAAAGGACATGCGCCCCCCTGAGAACTCACGATCCTTTTTTATCTCCCTTACTAGTACATATGCATAGAATTTTACATTAAGTTCATACATGTTCATTTTACTGGTTTCCCGTTACACTTGCAGCTAGTTTTTTTATCAGAAAGTACAGAAAGAACTCCTGGGTCATCTTGCCCTGTCTTCTGCAGCTTCAGCTTTGGTTTTCGTCTGTTTCTTATCTCTCTCACATTTTTCCTTTAGCTGAGGCAATTTTTAAAACAGCACATTTCACCTAAATCCGAAATGGATTTCCATCCTGGTAAATTTCTACTCTGTTTAATTGGCACTTGCCAGATGATCCTGCCAGTGACACCTGCTATGTATAGGGAGGATGTAACAGGGTCTGCTTTTTGGTTTGCTTCTGGTTCCTGGTGTACTGTGAATGCCCAGGATGAAAACAGGTAGACAAGGCAGTGTGAAGGTGAGATATTTAATTACTCCTAAATATTATTGCTGTAAAAATTAAATAAGAATTAGTGTATATGCAGAAAAGTTAAATCGATGCTGCCAGCACAAGCAATGCATGTCCCAAAATGCAGGTCATATAAGTAACCTCTGTTAGAATAGAGAAAGCACTGACAAAATTGGTTTTATTTTTTAACTTTTAAAGTTGTTTGTATTGCTCAACCAAGAATCTACACCTGCTACCTAGGCATTTTCCCTCTTGCTTGAGTGGATATTTTTAACAGGCTAGCTGTGCAATGAACAAATTAATAGAAAAAAAAAAAAAAGAAAGATGCTGTTCAGTATGTTTTCTGCATTGTAAGTACCGAAGGGACCATTTTATTCCTTAGTCTGATCACTTGCCCAAGGCTGGCCATGTAGTTGCATCCAGTTGATTGACATTGTTACATTTGCTTGGCTGAAGCATTTTCCTTCAGAGAGACATCTGATTATATTGGCAGATTCTGAGTTTGGTGGAATGATGAATAATCAAAGTAGAATGGTTAAGGAATACTGGGGAACTGTACCTCATTTCTGACCTGAATTATTCTGCCTTTAATTTCCAGCATTAGCTCTTGCTCTGCTTTTACTCTTCCAGTTCAAATAACCTTTTGTAGCTGATATTTTCTCTTCATTCAAGATATTTCCCAAGCCCATGTATTACTTTAGTTTTTTTCTGTATTCTTTCTAACACCTCTTTGAAACATGACTGCCAGTGCTGCCTGCAGTCCTGTAGTTCAGCCTCAGATGTGCATGATGTCTCTAGAGGAAAGATACCTTCATCCCCCTAATCCCTATATCCTCATCCCCTGACTTTATGCCACAGTCTGGCATCAGACATTCAACCTGCCACAGTCTCCAACCTTTTCAGATAACCTTTTCCTACAATATGGTTGCACATTCTTTACCTGCATACCTGCAACTGATATTACTTGTCCACAGATGTTTTACTTGATTTTTCTCATATATATATATATATATATATATATATTTATTTTTCCATTTGTAAATTAAAGTCCCTATTTCATCTATGAGGGAAAGTCAGTTGTTAAACACCTCTGATTTCCCATAAATCATAGAATCACAGAATGGTTTGGGTTGGAAGGGACCTTCAAGACCATCTTGTTCCAACCCCCCTGTTATGGGCAGGGACACCCTCCACTAGATCAGGTTGCAATTAGGATGCTAATTAAATCAATTGTTTCCCTTCAGCTTGATGCTTTTTGGGCCTAGTATTTCAGCACATGCCATTTTTCTGGATTTTTCCCCCCATTTGCTGTAATTCCACTAAAATATGTTGTGCTCTGACTTCCAGGCACTGATTACCTGGGTCTGCTGCTATCAAAGTTTCTGTTTAATATATGTTATTTAACAAGATCTTGTCATTGATCAAAAAATACATTATCATTCTTGCATAATAAAAAAAGATCATCTCAATTGTTTATAAATGTGGAAGGATGATATTTTATTGACCATTTTTTCTTCTTCAGTATCATTACAAACTCTCTGCATCCAGTTAGTAATTATCTTTGAATTGTCTTAGTTACTTTCTTGATACAAGAAAGTCCTTTAGCTGCCAGGCTTCTCACCCCAATTTTTTGACTTACAAATTGCATGTTTGTATTTATACTGATTGCTGTTTGCTGTCTGAGATGTATGCTTGTGCTTGTTTACCAACACCTTTTTCAGCCGTGGAACTGGAGCTCCTGTGGGAGATCAGCAAATGAGAAGTGCTTCAAACATTTTTTATTATTTTTGTGTCTTTGTTTTTTTTTTTTTGGTCTGCGTGGGCTGTGCTTTCGGTTTTCCTTCAACTGGGAATTGAATCACCCAATGCTACTGCTCAGGATTGCCTTTGGCTTTGGTTTTCTCACTCCTGCTATTACCAAAAGCATTTGAACGCTGTAGCAGATGGTGCAGGTGCAGGACTGAGAAAAGCATTTAATTTTGTATTATCAGCTTTGTGCCTTTGTGGGAGTGTTTTGAAGGCACAGCATACTTGTTTCTGAGACCGTCTTTGTTTTCATGAGGGCCCTTCGCAGTAAGAAGTAATCTTCCCCATGTGCCATAATAATAGAAAATTAACTTTGACTCCAGTGAGGTTTCATGTGGATTTGTTTGTTTTCTTCTTGCCACAGGCTTGGAAAAGGGAAATTCGAGGATGGTGATAGCATCAACTTGAACGACATAGAGAAAGTCCTTCCAGTGTGGCAGGTAGGTGATGAGGGTATCTCCTGCCCATGCTATGGTGGAGACCAGCAGCTCCTTCCCTATCCTTACAAAACTCTCCACAGAAGTGGGAAAACTGCTGGATTGGATGTGCTGAGCTATGGTCCTTTGGGGTTTATGATGGAGAATTATGCCTGTGGTTTTGGCAAGCCTTGCAATGACCCTTAATGCTGGGTGAGGGCAGTTATCATGTAGATTTCATTGGGAGGTGAAATGTTGAGGACAGTTGTTCTGGTTTAGGGCAAATTTGGGAGAAAACTTCCAAAAGGGGCCCCCCAGAAAGCCAACCCATGCATCCCCTCCCCTCACCTGGTTCGGGAAAAAATTTCCTCATAGAGAAGTGGAAAGAACCTGTTTATTTAACAGGCCAAGCACTCCCTAGCACACAAAATGAACAATACCAGATGACAAAATGCATTCACTGCTCTGAAAAGATGACAAATTCAGAAAGTTTCTCTGGTGGGTGGTTGCTCTGTTATTAGTCCCTCCGGTGCTGGGAAAGGCTGCAGAGTAGGCCCCAGCAGGCTACGAAGTGCAAGCTCTCGGTGTTTCCCCAGGTCCTGGTCTGGAGCTGGTTCGAATGGTTCCAAGAAAAGGGAAAGTAAAACAGTCCGGGGAAAGCTCAGACTGCCTCAGCTAGCTAAACTAACTAACTAACTAACTAACTAAAAAGCAAAAGGAGCGTGGTGTTCTGCCCTGTCCGCGCCCAGACAACAACAGTGTTCCAGCAGACTGTGGAGGAGCGAGTCTAGTTCTTGGTAACAAAACTCCATGTTTCTTCTTCTCCCCGCCTTCACTCTCAGCCAGTCTTGAAGGCACAGAATATAATGTCCAGCATAAACAGAACACATGATTGGGGATACAAGCATCATAACATCACCCTTGGACAACAGTATATATATATATACACATACATATATATAGGTATATGTACACAAAGCTCATATATTTTAGGAAAGGAGATTCTGAAAAGCATCAACCCTCCTGACAGCTTCAAAATAAATTGCTGCCAGGAAGCCAGCAGTGATGGTGTGCTGACCCAGGTGTTTCCCCTTTGCGGTGTATATATGTTTAAATGCAGTGGTCATCCACTTGCTTGTTTTCTCCAGCCTGTTCCTTCTCCAGATCTCTCTATTCAGCCCAGTTTTAGTAGTTCTGGTTAAATGACCTTTAATGTTTGGATGTTGGGAAATAGCAGGATGAGACCCTCAGTTATAAAGTCTAATTGAATAAGTCAATTTGTCAGCATCATACAATTTTTCACTTTCCAGAGCCCAAGTCCTCAATGAATCTGAGTGTCCTGGGCTGGGCAAGTTTCTGAGGATGCTCAGTATGTTTTTGCTGAAGTCTCCTCTGCCTTCAGAGGGAAGGGTGGAGACATCTCATGTGCTTTGGTAGTGTTACCCTTTTCAGTGCTGAGCAAAAAGCTCATTGGGCTTTTTGCTCATGCATCATGTGAGGAAAAGCTTTGCTCATCCTGAAAAACATGGGATGATCTGCCTTATTGTTTCTTTTGGGTGAGCTAGCTGGCACTAAATACACAAATCAGTGGAAGGAGTGGAGAAGTGCTGCCAACTTTGCCAGGAAGACTGCAGCTACTTCCTGCTCAGTCTCTTCCATGTTTGATATGTCTGGACTTTAGGTCACAGGAAGAAAACATCAGGTTCAGCTTCTACAGACCCCAGAAATTCTGCAAAATAAGGTGATTTTCCCCTAGGAATAATTGGAAATGAGAAATCAAACCATCTTTGGTGCAAGGAACTGATTTTCTTCTCTAGGGTTTAACTTTCAGTCAACAACTATTAAATAAACCAGATCTTCCTGGTCTATTTATCATCTGATCATGTCCTAACACAAAGTTGTCATCCTGTCCTAACACCAGGTTGAGTCCATTGACTCCAGTGAATTAATTCCAACATATACCTTAATATCTTGATTAATTGCTAGTGTGGCATCTCTAAGATGGAAAACCTAGAGGAAATGCTGGATTTGGTGTTTTGTTTGTGCCTCTGGGCAGATTCATGCAATGCTGTATTATTTTGGAGACATGCTTACCTAGGCATGTATAGTCATATGTGCATGTGGGAACTGGGAGCTGGGTAGTTCTGTGTAAGGATTTATCTTGTTTGGCATTGACAAGTGAAATACTTGCAGACAGCTGGTTTAATCCTAACATATCGTTAACTGGATTTGAATGTAATTGTGCAATGACAACAGTGATTTTGTTGGCCTTTATCCCTTGTTTCAAATGGGTCTGTGGAGCAGTGTGTGGGAGCATAAGGGAAAATATTTGAGTGAGCCTATGGAAGAAAAATCTACCTTCTATGGGGCTGTCCCACACTGTAGTTATCTTTGTGTCATATCCTGAAGAAGAGGCTTTTCGGGTTGGAGATATATAAACTTCTGTTCTCTATTTAAGAACTCAGGGGTTGATTACAGCATCTGTACATGGACGGAGGGGCCAATCTGAGCATCCTCCAATGCCACTGGGGTGGTCAGAGCACCCTCCAAGCACCACTGCAGTGGTCCTAGCATCCTCCAGTGTGACTGGGCCAATCCAAGCATCCTTCAAGATGACTCAGATGAAAATGTTTTGCTGCTGAATGTGCTTCAGCAGCTATAGCAGGGTTAAGAATATAATGTCTGAGAGATATAGTGAGTCTTACTTGCAGGCTGCTTTGGAAATTTGTGTTCCTTTAATGATAAGTTATAATAGGACATGAATCTAGAACTAATTTGTAGTGTACATCCAGATCTGTATGTGTATCTCTACAGAGAGATACAGTGACACCTCTAACATGTTAAGCAGAATATTCTGGATATCTGGGTGTTAATATATATACATGAGTTTTGCTGCTGAAATCCATCAATATTATTTTAACAAAATATTCCAAGGAAAGCCTATAACTATTTGGCAATTAAAAGGTGAAAAATAAACAAAGCCCAAAACAACTACCCCTAAAATCCTCTTCTTTTGTTTGGAAATTTGAGAATGGGTTCATCTACTCCTCAGAGATGCTCTTGCACCATGTCACGCTGCCATCTTGTGGACATGCACAGGCAGGCAAATCTGTCTCTGCTTTGGCAGTGGGCGAATTCCTTCACCACAACTAGTATTTTGAAGCTTTCTCCTGCCCCATCTTTTCAAAGCTCATCTGAGGTGCTTGTTCTTACTGTTAAATAGGCTTTGTTTTGAAAACTTCATGGCTAGGAGCTCATGAGGTCATTGCTTTGTCTCAGCTTGTTAGCTGTAACCTTTTCATCTCTCCTTACTCATAAGTCTGTAGCTGGATTTGGGCAGTAATTCACCTAAGTGCTGACAAAAAACAACTTTGGAAGAAAATAATCTTTTGAAGATAAGTGTTCCCCATACATAAGATCTTTTTATTGCACCCTAGGGAGGATCAGTTATCTGCTGCATTTGAGACATGCAGCTCAGATGCAGAGCAGGTCTTCATCACCTTCTCCATTTTCATCTCAGCTGGTTTGTTGGAGAAGACCACGTAACCATCTTGGCATCATGAAGACATCACAGGGAGGGCTGAGTCAGTGCATTTTTCTTTTGCTCCCTTTGGCAAATGCTTGGAAAGACTTTCATTCTTGGATGTGTCACAGCCAAATGTCCTGATCCTAGATACAGTCTTCAGACTGCGAGCTCTTGGCAAAGTCTACACTTACCAGAGAAAACAACCCAGGGGGCCATCTCCTACAAAATACTCTTTCGCCTCCCTGTGAAGCTACTGTAGCTCACAAAGGATAAAGGAGGATGAATGTCATGGGGACATGCTGTAAATGCTGCTAGAAAATGAGCAGAGAGTTTTGGGACATGTGTCAAGTGGTTTGTAGACTGGCATCTTGCATTTTTTGGCTTTCAGTTTGTTTGACTCGCCTCCAGGGTGGGCTTGCCCTCCTCTGAACAGTGCAGTTGTGCCTTTGCTGGCCAGCTGCTCCTTGTCTTGTGTTACATGGCGTTTTTCAAATGCTGGGCTTTACTGGTGCTATGGTGTGGTGGTTTTGCATGGGAGGTAAAGCTTCCGACACACTTCTGTGAAGATCACATTAAAGACAAAAGAAACCCAGGAACTTTCTCTTTCTTTTCCAGTCAGCAAAGAGGTAATGGGCTGGGTGGCCCCTGCTGCAGGGCTGGGCCCCTTTCCCCGGGGTACCCGCCAGCTCCTCACCATCTCCCCATCAGCTGCCGGGCAGGGGAGGGAAGGCTGCACAGCTGAGGCCAGGCCGGGCCATGGCTGTGATTTCTAACATCTTACTGCTACTCAGCCCTGCCCTACCACCAGCCCGGGCTGAGCCAGGTCTGCTGGGCCCTAAGAACAGCCCCGGACTGAGACGGTTTGGCCAGGACTCTACTACCATTGAGGTTCGCCTGCAACCACTGGGCAGGGGAGAGGAGAAGCCATGCCATCAACAACCCCCACCCCCCACCCTTCCCCCTTTCCTGCCGAAGCTCTGGCCACAAGCTAGTGAGCTCAGCTGGGGTCAGATGACCATCTGCAGGCTCTGGGCAAGTTATTAACTTTTTCAGTGCTTCAATCCTCCCTCGAGTGAGAGAAGGGAACAAAATGTAGCCAGTGTAGAGGAACAACATGAAAGACATTGAGGTCAGTAAAGAAGTCAAGTCCCAGATGGGAGGGATAAGGAGATGCCTTGATCTTGGGGCTGAAATCCTCTTGTAAAGCTATGGAGAAAGATGTAATTGATACATCAGACTCTTTCCCTGTAACACATGAAAGCATGGGGAGATGAAGAGTTCAAACTGATGTCGAGCAAAGGCCTCCATACCAAAGAAAGCAGATGTCAAAGTAGCTGTGATCCTATGAGAAGTTAGAACAGAGAAGGAGAGAAGAGTGATAAAGATCCTGTGCCCCCAGAAAGAAGATTATTTCAGAGATAGATAAAGAGAACCTTTGCCTTTGAACAGCTCATCTTTAAAACAATACCCCATAAGTTAACATGACCCATAAACACAG